TTTTTATTTTTCTCCCAAAAAATTCACCCTTCTGTTTTTTATAATTTTCCACAAGGTTACATTTTTTTTTTTTCCCCATTCCCCCCCCCCCCCCCGCTCCTCCCCCCCAGTCCAGCACCTGTTTATGTCCCCATCCGCCCCTGCCTCGTTTCTTCCGAAAGCCAGAAAGCCCCCCCCAAAGGGGGCTCCGGGTAACTCTTTACTTTTTTTTCTATAGGGGCTTTTTAATTTTTTTCTCTGTCTCCGGGGGGGGGAATCGGGACCAGACAAAAAGATTAACCCTCTTTTTTTTTTTTTTTTTTTTTTTTTTTTGGGGGGGGGGGGGGTCTGCTTTTATTTATTTGTTTTTAAAAATGTTGTATGTTTGTTTCGTTTCTTTGGGGGGGGGGTGACTGCTCGATTGCTATTACGACATTGTTCTTTTCTTCAAATTGTGATTCCTCCATCTCCAAAACGGAGGAAAAACGATCGTGCATCGAAAAGACATCCGCAATCTTCATTTAGATCCAGATCTAGGCTAGCCGCGAAACTAGATCAAAGATTTATGTCTGTCTGCCTAGATCTAGACCTAGACCTAGGCCATAGATCTAGAAGAACCTAGGTATTCCCTGAGCCAAGAGGACGCTGAAACTCTCCGAAATCACAAAAGAGTTTCCCTACGAGGTCTGTATACTTTGTGACTTTGTTCCCGGTACCGGGTCCGTATACACTCCCAATTAATTTACTTTTGTGTTTTAACATCATTTTAAAATTTTGATTTGGTCAATTTGATCGTCCACACCGATAGACAGTATTCAGAAAGAGACAGAGAGAAAGAAGAGGAGAGGAGTAGATCTTGCGAGAACTTCCGGGCAAAACAAAATGGCGACCCCCGTAGTTCGGCTGATTCGAAAAGTGAAATAGCCATAGCATCTTTGTAGTTGATACAAAATAGCTTACTTTTGTGCTATAACGTAATCTTTTCTTTGCTGTTATCCATTTGATCATCCACATTGATAGAAAGTATTCCGAAATTAGGAAAAACAGGTCTTGTTTTACACCGGGTGAGAATAGCCTACGGTGGCAAGTCTCACCCGGGGTGAGAGGTCGATCGTATTTCTATTCTCACCCTGGGTGAGAATAGCCACTTCCTTTGGCTATTCTCACCTGGTGTGCGTTCAACGTTATAGCCTAGGCCAACCAGTGCAGGGTTCACCCTGAACCACAGAATTCTACACTGTGATAACAGAATTGTAGAATTCTGTGCCGTGAACTAACGTTCCAGCGCTCTTGTGTTACTACTACTGATAGCCTAAAAGCGTGCAATTTGGCCTGTGGGCAGTAGAGAGAGAGAGAGGAGTAGCGCGAGAACTTCGCCGTCTTCGGGGCAAAACAAAATGGCAACCCGCGTAGTTCAGCTCGATTCGAAAAGCTAAATAGCCGTAGCATCTTTGTAGACGACCAAATTAATTTACTTTTCTGTGTTTTTACATCATTTTTTAACTTTGTAGCTTTGGTCAATTTGATCGTCCACACCGATAGACAGTATTCAGAAAGAGAGAGAGGGGAGGAGTAGATCTTGCGAGAACTTCTGGGCAAAACAAAATGGCGACCCCCGTGGCTCGGCTCGATTCGAAAAGTGAAATAGCCATAGCATCTTTGATGACGATCAAATTAGCTTACTTTTGTGCTATATTGTCATATTTTCTTTGCTTTTGTCAATTAGATCACCCACACCGATAGACAGTTTTCCGAAATTAGGAAAAAACAGGTCTTGTTGTTTCACACCTGGTGAGAATAGCCAACGCTGGCAAGTCTTACCCGGGGTGAGAGGTCGATCGTATTTTTATTCTCACCCTGGGTGAGGATAGCCACTTCCAAAATAAATGTGACATTGAAATTCGTTTTACACCGATTTTTGTCTCTATGAGTATGAATTATGTTCATGATGTTTTAGTAGCATTTTAACAACATGCGACTAAACGTAGAATGGTGCATCTTCCTGATTGGCAGTTAATTTTAGTAATGTGATGTCATCACTACCAGGGATACCCACAGACTATTTTTATAAGGCCGTGTCGTGGAGGTACCAAAGATTGTGTATACATGATACAGTAGAGAATCTTTAAAGTACCGCATGGAATGACATGTTGGGTCAGGGACTTGACGTGTTATCCGTATCAATGTTTCGCACGGTAAAATTTCACTCTTGCGGCTAACTGCAGCATGTCAGCCATGCTCTGGTAATGGAATATGGCTTAGATTGTTGATGCTCAGAACCGTAAGAACGCTGATGCTTGAAATTGAAACACAGTAAATGCAAAGACAATAAAGCCCGCTAAAATTGTCGTAAATATTCTCGGAGACTCAGGGGTGGGGGGGGGGGGGGGGGAATA